ACATTTCCTGCCCTGTGTTCCAGGCTGTTGCTAGCCCCCCTATTTATGGATAAAACCGATGCATGTTCCCGAGTATTGCATAAAGGTATATATTATCCAGCAAGCTATATGGCACCTCTGACAATCTGCCTTTTAATACCTGTTTGCTTGATATTTTCTCTTATTTTAAAGGGGAATTTAATGCTGATCTGAAAATGCTACTACATCCCCCATCCCCTGGATTCAATTAACACAGCAGGTGGGAAATCAAAGTATTGTGACAACTATTCTTCCATCTCAAAACTATGTAGCAATTTATATTCCAAAACGTCTCAAACACTGATGTGATAATTTATAGCATCTTTGAATGCTTCTTTGTACTAGTTAAAAATTCAAACAACCCTAATCTCGCCACAGTCCCTGAAGCTCACTCACAGTGAAAGGCAAAGCTGTGAAAACTTTCTCAGCTCAAAGCCCTGTGACTGCACGTGGTGACTTAAGCAACAGAGTTCCCATCAGGTCTCTGGAAATGATTATAGGGTTTTTCATGTTGTCACCATGCAAGATAGTGAAAGTGTTAAATCAGTGCGATTTGAAGGATCAAATTCTTCCCATTCCCAGGGAATGGAACCACAGTGTCTTCCCTCTGCAGCTGCTACATTTTAATGCTTCTTGCATCTCAGCATCAGCTGGGCTTTTGCAAGTTAAAACAAAGACAGGTTTGCACAAACTTACCTGGCGTAGTCAAACAAGGTACACAAGTGCTACCTGAAGCCCATTTTAGAAAATACTTCTTGTACTTCATGTATGTCTGGAGAGAAATATAGCTTTTTGTATTCAGCAACACTGTTGCCCTGTTCCTGGTGTGGGTTTTGTTTTTGTTTTTGTTTTTTTTTTAAATTTATTTATTTAAGCTACTGCAATTGCACTTATTTCAACAGCATTGGACCAAATTCCTCTGATACAATACTACTGCTATCAACTGACCTATTATTATTGGATTACATCTACCTCACTGTCTGAAAGAGCAAAACCTGGTGACATGATGAGTATATTACTATTATTATTATTACCCTAATTTTGAAAGCATCTGTGATCATGACAAACTATCCTAGAAGCTCTGTACAAACTCAGAGAAAAAGATGGTTCCTGCCCTAAAGAATCTGTAGTTTAAGAGAGTCTCATGCTGCATCCCTTCTGGCTCATCGTCTGTTTCTGGGGTTATGCACTTTGCCTCTCGCAGGATCCTCCCACATATCTAAAACCTCCCTCACCATTTTAGCGGTTAAATATATTGCGAGCAGCAGGCAAACAAGTTGCCTGTGTGCACGTTTCAAGCTGCTATTTCTCTGATGACCTTCTTTCATGCTCTTTCATCTCTAAATTTAGCTAGCTACTAAAGTGGGAGTCTAGCAGATTCAGTGGCACAGGAAACACTAATGCAGAGACTGTACATAATCACTCTTAAAAGAACAGCACAGATTATGAGACAGCGTAATTACTATTCCGTAGCCAAAGGAAGTTTATTTTACGAAATTGCACCTTTTCAAGTCTAATAAATCATTACAGACATTCACTCAAGACCAACACATGCAGCACAAAATCCAAAGTATTATTTAAGGGCTGACACCCAGAACTTGGAAATCTGTTCACGTTAGGATTGCTGTGTCCGTATTTGAACAGATAACGTGGTAACTGCCAGGCACAAGTACACTTAAATCTTACATTTAATCTTTTAAATAGCTGCCTCAGTGCCACCTAATAAGGAGAACATACTGGAGAATCACAGGAAACATTTAAGAATGTGAAATAAAGTATTGAGATTCAGAAAAGTACTGTACAGATAGTGGAACTGTGACTGAGACACAATGATGGAACCATACCAAGTTTCAGGAAATTGCGGAAGTCATACCACATTAAATTTTGGTTTGTTATTTTCAGATACAATAAATATGATAAAATAGGAAATGTTCTGTGTTGTTTGGGTGAGATAGATGACAAGCAGTTTTATTCCCTGGATCATATATATAAAATCTGGTTAAAATATTAATAATCTCTGTGCTTATATAGGTAATGAGATAGTTTTAAAGTTTTTAATCTTTGTTCTCAGAAATCATACTTCCAGTATTCTAGTCAAAAAGCTTTCCCTCCTTTTTAAGAAAACAGCACAAGCACAGCCCAGAAAATTTATTAATTCTTTCTTTAATAAGGCGGGCTAGATGTTCTTCCAGAGTAAAGATACAAAGTTCCACAACTAAATGAATACCCAGTCAAAATATGATACTGCCTTTCTGCAGTACATACGACTGACGTGACATGCAAGAGACTTTAAACAGTCATCAATGACAGATGTGAGATAGAGTACAACAGTCTCAGATACATATCTAAATCCCATATTAGTTTTCATCAGTAATTTGCAATGTATATATTTTTTCTATCTGATTATTGTTATCCATGAACATTATGAGCAGGCCATCTTTGGGGGAAAAAAGAATAATCTTGTATTTTAAATGACAATTTCTTTCTCGGTATATTCTTAACATAAGGCAAGACAGGGTGATGACTTGACATTTTGTCTAACTTACAGGTTTCTGACATAATGAATATACAAAATTTTAACTATCTCCGCACTACGATCAAGTATCAGAGACAACATATTTGAGATATAGAAGGACACGGTATAACCAAAGCAGATTCATTTACTGGAATTTGCTCTGATCTTATTTATATAATCATCTCTCTGCTTCTGAAGATTTTTATCATATCCCACAGCATGATAGGCATTCAGCTCATCGGTATTCACTGATTAGTGAAAACTTGTTAGAAACTCCCAAAATCTTTATATACTTTTAGCGCTGTTTTAAAATATGCAATATTAAAGATCCAACTAACTTACAAAAATAAAAGAACTGTACAAGTCACACTCTTCCATTGGCAATGAGACCGTTCAAGAAAACAGCAATGTGATCCCTGAAACAAACAACCAGAACAGAAATCAAAAGACTGATGCTTAAAAAAATAAAAAAAGAAGTAGAAACATTTTTCCCTGCCAAAGTACTAGAATCTTTGAAGGTTTATGTATCACAGAATATAAAACTTCTCTCTCTGTCCCCAGAATATTTCTTTCCTCTTTCCATAGGTACTTCTTGAACAGATTCCCCTTTGTTGGTGGTGTGGCACAAGCCTTACTGAATGGGTTAAGGCTAGAAAAGCTTGAAAGACATAAATAAATCAACAGCCACCGAATCCCCTGGCATTCATGCAAACTCAGGGAAATAAAATAAACCTGAAGACAGGCATGCATGCTGAATTCCAGAGTGATTTTCTATGAAGCTTAAAATTAAACCAAAATAAACACCTCTCTGAAATGTTACGCATTTAAGATCTTTCATCTGAACAGTCATCTGACTGTTCATATCGCTCTGTCACAGAGACGTATGATGCTATGCTTGCTCACAACATTCTAACATTTTATCATTTTACAAGGCACAAATAATCTCAGAAGAACTACACGGCGGCTTTTGAGCATGTAAGGATACGTCAGCTACCATGTAATTACACGACAATTATCTCTTCATTGCAGTCACTGACACAGACCTTGTAAAATCTAAGACCAGCAAACTACATGTCACCTCATCTTTGGAATACGGTACTGAACTCCATTTACAATTACAGACTAAGCAGCAAATAACTACCATTTCTTAACTCCATACAAACACAAGCTTTGCCATGCAATTATGAAGTTGTTGCATGGTATAATGTATGTGTATCTTAAAAGTAAACAATGCCATTTTTTTTGCTGTTGTTATAGAGTGACTTTCTAGCATTCCTTCCTCAAGCTAGTTCTGTGTAGGTCCTACAAGAGCAGGCGTCTGCTCACCACCAGTTTCTTTTTGTGAATTCCAACAGAGTTTAAAGGGATCAACAAGGACACCCCTGCCCCGTACCTACTTGGAAAAACTGTTATTAGATGTACTATGTACTTGATGGGAAAAAAATACACTTTTCCATAGAAGAACAAGCGCTAGAGTTAATGAGAAACTTTCTGTTGGTGAACGCTGCTGCACCATTATGTTTTTCTTGACTAGAAATGTGGAAATTGTATAGGAATATATGTAAACAGAATCTATAGAAGATAATAGTAATGAAATATAAAGTGCTTTTAATTATGAACATTTCATTTCACTTTGCACCCTTCCCTGGTAAGTTATCATACTCAAGCTAGTTTTAGTTCAACTGGCTCAGGTCTACACTATAAAATACTGTAATTTCCCTTGCACCTACTGTTTTAACTGTGGTAATCTCTGTAAAATAAAAATGCCAGGGGATGTAAAAGTAGACAGATATTACTCTCAAGGGGAAAAAAAGTAGGCAAAGGGAAATAAGGCTCTGTTGTATAGGTCCCCGTTCTCAAGGAATTTGTCACACATTCTCCTGTAAGACAGCGCTGAGGAACAACTACACAAACTTCTGCCTTCAACACACCTCAGGCTACTGCAGATGAAAATGAAGAAACTAGGATTTCTCAACTGAGAACAAGCTTACTGCCAGGATGAAGCTTTTAATCTTTCTGACATACATTCCTTACTTCTTTAATCACAACCTCTGAAGAAACAGTACCCTTTCCTACTCGGAAAACCCAGTCGAGCATATTTTGTAAAAGGATGATATTAAATCTAGCTTGTCTTTGCTGCTTCAGGTCTGATGCCAAGTATCTACACGTTTCCTAATCCATTATGGTACCTAGCACATACTATTCTATGTTTTGGGAAAGCAACAGTTCTATAGTAACAAAGCTCCTAAGTAAGATAACTCTATAACTAAGAATAACTGTATATTAGAACCGGGTTTTACTGGGTCTTTATTTAAGGCAGTTATTAAAAGGTGTCTATTCTTTTTGAAGAGTTGCAAATCTGTGTTTTGGTTGGGTTTTTTTGTTTGTTTGTTTGTTTGTTTGTTTTTTTAATTTAGGCTTTGGCAGCTGAGATGGGTTACCTTTATCTATTTTCTGTCCTTCTAATCCAAAGAACTATCCAGCCTGTGGAATCATAGGAATTTGAGCTGAGGTATAACTGCCAACCTCCCAAACTCTCCCAACCTGTTTCTTTAGATGTCCAGGGGGCTGACAATAGCAAAGTCAGAATCTTTGCTGTTATTACTACTGTTGTCATCAGGGCTGGAGCTCAGGTTGCTGGAGGAGGCTGAAATGGAGCCCATCAGTGGGTCAGAGAATATCAAAGAAGAACGAGATGGAGCTTCTGGCTTCACCACTGCCTCCTTGTGTGCCTGATGGGACTGCGCTGGCTCCGGGACAGCACTTCTACTTCCTTCCTCTTCTTTGGAAACCATAATATAGTCATCAGCACTCTTGCTCTCACTAGTGCTCGAATCAGTCGTAGTCTGTGAGACAATGGCACAGAAAGGAGTTAAGTTAGTACCAGTTTTACCACTTAATGAGGTTTATGATGCATGCCAGTGATATGGGAATGGAATAAAGGAATAATCATTATACAAAAGTAGCAATGCCCAAATCAAGAAGTAAAAAATAAAGTGGGTATTAACTTTGGATGAAATAATTTATTTGTTACGAAAGCATAAAAGCTAACACTCTAAAAATTCGTTATTGGGTATAGCAGCCTTACATGTTTCATCATCATAGTGCACCCACGTAGTGATCACAGCAGCTAGGCATCTAACACATACATTACAGTTGTGAAGATTTTCAGTAATTTTATTCTCACTGCTGTTAGTTTCCTGTAGTAATTCATGAGTAGTACTGAGGAATTTTTTGCCAGGTTGCATGTACAATAGCATTTTGGAACTTGTCAGAAGAATGCTTTGATATAAAATTTCCTATTAAAACCTTGACCTGTGGAATCTGAGCCATACATAGACCTTTTCAGCAGATCAGGGCTCCCAGGGCTTCTAGGCTTAGTGTTGTCGAGTATTTCCTAACTCTACCAGAAAATGAGGGTCCAGGAATCCCTCTTCTGGCTGGTTAGACCTTGGGAAATGTGTGTCCCTGAGCACTCAGGTAGTGGATCAAGACTACACATCAGTGTACCAGAAAACTGTCTATGAACTGGCAATCTTATATTCCAACTAGCCATATTCAGGAGAAATCCAGCTTTTCCACGGTCAGAGTGATATGTCATTAGAAGGGAAGACTGCCATATACAGCAGAGTGGGATTTCTCACTTGTTGACAACTGGCAGCCTGTTAGCTTGGTTGCAACCCAAATGGACAACACTTTGTTTTCTTCTGCAAGAGATGCATTCAACTCCTACTAGCACTATGTTCCTCTGACAAGAATATGACTGCTTGCTTAGTTGCTGTCACACAAATTTTTTCAGTACAATAATGCAACCTGCCAAGCAGCCTGTGGGGACAAGCATCCTGAAGTGGCGTGATATTGAAACCAATATATTTGATTACACTAATGCGAGACTGAGAAAAAGGAGAAGAAGGAGAGGGGCAGCTGGGGAAATGTGTATGGCAACATGTGTGTCGACTACAAGCCCTTCAGCTGTGACTCACCAAACAAAAAAATGTAAATTCACTTTGGGGTAAAAGAGAGATTGTAGGTATTAGAGAAAAAAGGAAAGCAGTAACAAAAAAGAACAACAGGAAGTATCTGAATGAGACAAAGTTAGACCCTCAGTACAGTACACAAAATTGGAGTATGGAGGTTATCACAAATATCAGGGAACCACAACTTGGAGTTACGGTATCCATGGCCTCCAGCAAAACTTATTTTGCCAAATTTATTATTACAGCTGAAAACAATTTTCCATTGCTCTGATTACTGATTATAGAGCAGAACTCTCCTGAAAGGGAACTGTAGAGTAGCTCAGGGAGCAAAAACCCCCAGTGATTAAGAATGACTGTAATATGAAATGAGGGAGCTGGAAGTCTTTCGTTGTTATTTACATAGTTGTTCCAAATTATTAAAAGTCACAAACAAGAGAAATATCACCTGAATCTGAAAATATGTTCAAGTACAGAATTGTGACCTGTTCCCTTCCAAAATTTATATGCATGAGGATTCAAATATCTCCCTTTGCAGCAAATTTTTAAAGCATCCTGTTTTTATAATTTATATTTTTTCTGTGTTATCTAGATAGTATCTAGGTATAATAATACTATATTATTATCTAGGTATAATAATATACAGTATTCTGTTTCGTAATTAACTCATTTTAATACTTTCTCATTCATCTTAAGTCCAGAGTATTGTTTACAATTTTAAAGGTCCCAATGTAAGACAGTTGTCAAACTGATAGAAACGTACATCTATTATTTTTTGACACTAATTCATTTTCCTCAGATGGCTTAATAAAATTCATACCAAACCGAGTGGATTGCTATTAAAAATATCAACAGCTATCCTGTGCTGAGTGCTATCAAAATGGATCTCAAACCTCCTGATCTGCGCAGAATCAGGGTAGTTCAAATGTCAACAACTTCAAGCACTTTCCATGAAGTTAAAACCAAACAGATCTATGCTACAAGGAGGGATACTGCACTATTTAAGCAATTCTGAGCTGAGACACCATTTGTTATTAATTAGCCTTTTGCTTTCATCTGGTCTGCTTGAAATGCTGTCTTCATGAGCTGTCAGTCAATCGGCTGCCATCTCCAGGGGGCCGAGGACACAGGCAGCGCTCAATCGTGGCTCTGCTCCACCACCGTTTTAGTAGTCGCCTGATTTTGTAGGCACCCAGTGCAGCCACAAGACGGGGCCAGGTGAGGCTTTTTTAGGAGCTCTAAATGCCATGTTCAAAATTTCAGCACTTTGTTTTTCCCCCCTGGACAACAGAAATATACGTTCCTTTAAAAAACCACCACTGCGTAATTCACCTGGCTTCTTTCCACACTTCTATTTAAAAGCTCTCAGGGAATGCAGTACAGTCTCATTTTGCAAAATTAGACACTTTATTATTCCAAGCTATCAAGATCACGCTATTTCAGTCCTCGTAGCCCTCACATCTGAGACGGCTCCACCTTGCATAGGGCGACACAGATGTTACCTAGTGACACACTCGCCCAGCGAGATCGGTATTTTCCTCGCTGGCACCCCCAAGGATGCTAACGGGGTGTCTTCCTTTTGACAGTGAGCCCCAGCAAGGGCCCTCCATCATAAACACTTTGAGCTGGTGTTGCAATTTCCTGAATTCTGCTTCCAAAAATGTGCTCTTGCGCGGTTAAAAAAAGCATCCTGCCCTTTAATAAAGGGAAAGAAAACTACTCACCCCAATTTCTTGTCGTTACGTGTTGTGCTTTGCAACACTACTTTTCATTCTACCCACACTTTTTGGTTCAGTTAAAGAGATCTATAGCTCACTGAAGTATCAGAGAAGCAGCAAAGCATAGATATTGACTCCAAAATGCTATAAAAGGGCCTCCCATAAATGTTTGCCTATCCCTGGCATACATTGGTATTGTGGTACTGATATTTCCAGAGGTAAAATACCTCCTCCCTTCTTCTTCTGCCTGTTTCTGTTTCAGAAAACTCATGCTGACGTGAACCATGTTTTCTCCCATCTGCTGCCACTACTGAATAAATGAAAAATGACAGAATTATACTTCCAGTAGCTTTGAAAGTTAACAACCTTACGCCCGTTGCCATATGGCTTCTCCAAACATTTTTTCCTGATGAATATCAGCTACTAGGACCAGGATTATTTCAATTGCCTTCATACTGTGAATGAGTTAAAACTAACTGTAAGGATACAATTCAAGAAAGCTTAGAAGAACAGCAGCTCATTTTGCCTCCTTCTTTGAACAGACATAAAGGCAAGATAATGTGTTAATTATCATTCATTATTTAGCAACAGAAGCCTTCTGTTTGTCAACTGCATGCTGCTACCAAAGCCAAACATTCCAAAAAATGCTCTATTTCTTTGAGCTTTTATCTTCATTTTTTGCATTTTTAATTTTGCAGCTTTCCTTTCCAAAGAGGGGCTGTATCCTTATCCTCATTTTCCAGAAAGGGATTTTGAGGCAAGAAAAGAGGAAGAGCACTTTTAAAAAAAGTAAAGATGATAAATAATTTATACTTATATAACAACCAAGCACAAAAGACCAGATTTTAATCTCAATTACACAATAGCTACACCTGTAACTTTTCCAGCTGTCCTAGAAAATATCCCTGTAATTCCACCAGAGAAAAATCTCTACAGTATAAGTCACGTCAAACAGAATTACATGCATTACCAAAGCCACAGAAAATGTAAATACAGTAAAATTTATTTAGCAAGAAATACATTAAATGGTCTAGAAGTGGTTGGAATTTTTAATCCCCCTGCAGCTCTCAGTAAGTACTCCCAGCTTGACCCAGGGCATCAGCACAGCCCATTTGCTTCAGCAGAGCTAAAAGCCTGGGCTGTGGCCCAGTTTGGCCCAACTATTGACCCCATCAATTAACAGCCGAAGGTCACAGCCCACTAAATTCAGCAGTTTTATTTTCCCGTGTTTTATTAGAAGAGGTCCAAAGCTCTCCTCTTTTTGTTTCATTTTAGACACCACGGTTAAAGACGATGGGCTTTGAAACAGCACAGACCGTTGGGATACTAATGGTCCTCCTGGACTGCCATTACTAACCCTAATCTTTTCTTTTTCTTTCTGTTGCAGGGGCTGCTGCTCATCATCATAACTGGAACTTCCAGAAGATAAGAGGAGAGGAAGCTAATCCCTATGAATGTACTGCACCTCCAAACGTAGACCGTACAGTGCCGAAGCCTCATTAATGCTCTGCAGGAGCTCAGCTTGTACAACCTCTACTCACGTTGCTTGTAGTTGGATTACTAGCAGCCTCATGGAGTACACGGGAATTGTGGGACCCACGGACACCTCTCATCTCCTGTGCCTGGATGTATACTTTGACCACACACTGGGGGGAGCCCTCATTACACATCGCCCTGCAAATTTCCATTGGAAAGACATCTGTGCAGACCAGGCTTCACCTGCTCCACTCCCAATACTCAAAGTGCAACATCCCAGAGCCCCCGCTCAGTGACACATGGTTTAGACCAGCAGCTGAGTAAGGGCTTCTCCAGCACAAGCAGGGCCTGCAGACACTCATACAGCACGTTATCTTATATAGCATTCTACCTTCCAGTTTCTATAATAAATCCAAGTAAAAATAATCAAAAAAAGTAATATTTGCCATTTTGGCAAGAAAGCAAAAGATACTTTGTATAAAAAGCTGGGAAATAAAGGGCAAAAATAGGTCATTATATGAACACTCCAATGTGCTACATCAGTTTAACCTATGTCTTTATTATGGCAGAAAGTAGTGACTGTAATGACAACAGCTAAAGAAGCAATGAAAGCTTTCTAGCAAAGCTTTGCTCTTTGACCCTGCCATTACTAAGTAAAAAAAAAACCTGTGTTGCTTCTAATACTGAAATACAATTAAATACGATTTTTAACAGAGTGTGCTAACTCAAGGGGATTGTGTGTAATAAATCAAAACAACCCTGTTTAATTATTTGAAAATGAATAAATATTTCCCCTAGTTCCTAATTAAATTTGTCAAGAGTAAACCGATTGCAGACCCAGTTAGATTCCAAGGTGATATTGCTACCACTGGATTTACAAGTGCGAGTATCAGTATTGGGGTGGCAGACTTAACTTTAGAACTCTAATACTGAAAATGATATAGACGTGCATATATAAAAAACCCTTGTTTTTAAGATCACATTTGAGTTAGACTGAATCTTAGACAGAGAGGGACCTTTTAAGATGAAAAGAAATTGCCTCTTTCTGTGTGTGAACTTGTCCTGTGACTGTATGCTTTGTATGTGAAAACATTGTTTACTGAGTCAAGGAGAAAGTCAATACAATGGAGTAGAAGGTAAAAGCAATGTCCTCGCTGTTTCCTTTTTGGCACTGGCCACGGATACACTGCAATGCAGATAATCAGCTCTTACATAATGGGATTCTGGAGGACAAGGACAATGAGAATAACCAACTGGTATGGGACCATTTACCTCCAGTTTTTACATTTTTGTAGGAAATTAATCCGTGATTCCGTGATTCAACAATCTGAAAGAAGAACTCCCCCAACACTGCATAGCACTTAGACTTAAATGTGTGTAGAGCATAAGGCTACAATGAAAATAATTGATGGGATTAGGACAGTAGCTAGAAACTTTTAACCATGGCTCTGTATGCACCAGGAATGCTGGCGTGTTCCCATGTAATGTCTGGACATGCTAAAGGAACTCTCCAAAAAATATCAGCCTAATTCCATCAATGACCTGTTTGAGGTATTTTTATCTCACCTGTCGTCCTGAGATGAACTGTTGTTTTGTCATAACAGGTCCCTTTAGGACATCACCTGTCCCCTTGTTCTGACTGTTGGAACAGTAGTGATCATCGGCTATCGTGATTTGCTCATTTTCTTCAGCTTCCAGCTGGCTCTGGTTGAAACGCAGGGAACCTTTCAGGATGTCCTTGATCTGTTGTTGAATGGGAAGGGAAAGAATGTAGGTTAGAAATTTGGAGGATTTCTAAATTTTCTAAAGCTCTGTGCAGCATGCTTTCATATACCATTTCCCCAAAATATTTGCTTTGAAGAGATAGGAAGCAAGTCAATATTCATATCTATATTGGCTAGAGATACCAGTGAAATGTGATTATCAGAGTCTGGAAAACAAGTATCCAAGACATCTAAAGAGAAACTGTTAAGATTATTCCCTACCTTGTTATATATTTAACATATGTCACATCATTCCTGACAAAATGTATTTTGAGGGAGCAGAGGACAGTATAATCAGAGATGCAGATGCTCAGCAGCATTCTCATTTTATGTACATAGTATTTTTTCTTTAAATTCAATGACATTAAAGTGTCATCACATTTAAATAATGGGGACTTAAGCATGATTATTGCCTAGCACATACATTTTGCATTAAGAAAACCGATGGTGTGGCTTAAGTCCAGAACTCGGTGTTGCGCTGCCTCAGTTCTGGCTCGAGGCCTCCAGAACTTTTCAGGGAGCAAATACTGTGCAAGTCACTTGAACTCTTTATAGCTGAGTTTTACCTTTTAAAATAAAAGTACACCGCAATGCTTGATGCATCAGTATTAGTAAAACAGCTACAAGACAAAACAGCAGTATACAAAAAGAATAAAAAAGGAGAAAAAAAAAGAAAGGATTAATAGCACTGAAGGATACAAGAAGGTTAAGGTAAGCAATATTTATACCTGCTTCAAACCAGCCAAGGAAACAAGAATTTCATCTTCTTTTTCCAAGTGTTCTTGCAGTATGACTTCCTGAATATTTCCTGCAACATCAAAAGAATAAAAAGGTAAAGAGAGAATATTCCCCAAGTAATCTCTAATGTGCTGCCAATTACCACTGACTTATGCTCTCACAACAAAATCCTGTGACCTGCAAACACAATTTTGCACACAGACCTAGAGGCTGACAACCTTATCAGCTGTGGAGCTGAGGCCAGCCCAAGGCTGGCACTGCTGCCAGGAGGCCTCCAGCAACGCTGTGCTGCTGCTGGACTTCTACTGCCCCAGTGTACCAATGGACTCAAGCTACTACTGGTCCCTAGAAGAAAACATTGGCCTCTGTGGCTAATGGAGTTACAGACATCTTTGAGCCTGCAAATGCTTTGGAAAGCACTCAAGAACAATGACAGGAATCTGCTGCAGCTTGCAGAAAGGGTTAGGGTAGGAGCTCAGCAATCTTCAACTGTATCATGTGGTTACTGCAGATGCTGGAACGCTCTTCTTTATAAGACTGAAAGTTTCATTCCCTTTCCAATCCCTTCTTTTGGGTAAAAGACTCATGGCTGAGCAAAATTTATTTGACAGAAAGAGCAGCGCAGTACTGGCACTTCGGAAGACACCTGCCTTCCATACCTACAGTGCTGTCCTCCAAGGATGCATTTCAATAATCTGGTGTAACGTGTTTGCAGGAGTCAGGGCTGGAGGGTGGCTAACACATCAGAGCTGGAGCTGTGGTGGTCTTCCCTGTGTCAGGGAAATCCTGGCAATGCTGCAGTCCAAACCAGCCCCGAGAAAGTATAGCTCCAATAGCTCTGCAGACTTTTAAAACTATGTCAGGTCCTTCTCCAGCCTCCTAGCTCCTACCTTCCTCCTCAGTTCTTTAAGAAAACGGCAATGATTTCTAGTGACAGATTTACAGAATGAGATGGTGTCTGTCAACTGAAAGGGTACTCTTTTGTGCCACTCCTGTCCTACATAGACAGAGCTGAGCCCAAATCCCTCAGTGACACTCATTTGGGAACAACACTTTGCTGCTCATGAGTATCTGTACCCAGGGTGCTTCACAATTAGAGCTTTGTACCATTAATCCACACCTGCATTGCGTTTGTTTGTCTTTAAAAACATCTTATATGTTCAGGGCCTGAACCAGTGAAAAGCCAAAACTGTTGTCACAGATTATGCTGACAAGGACGAATACGATGACACTGCCAACGTTGACACAATATGAAGTTTCAAGTAAAAGCATTGAGCAATTTGGCGTAAGTTTTGTGTTTACAGAATAAATAGCAAAAGAATGAGATGTGGGAGACTGGACAAGAAGAAAGATTAAAGATAGCGAGGTGGAGTTAAAACCCGCATATAAACACAGAAATTTGAAATTGTGTGGGTTCCAGAAATCGGTAAAGGGTATAAGTGAAGAATAGAAAGGGCAAAGAGGAGAAAGGATCCAAGTCTAACCACTAAATGAACCGCTAAAGAAGTAATCTGAAAAGTAGAGGCTAGAGCCATGAAAGGCAACAGACTACAAAAGTCCATGGAAGGTGGTGTGATCAAGGTCAAGAGCAACAGTGGGGGTAGGATATCTCAGCTTTGCGCTAGCAGCCTATCTGAACAAGGAGATCCATGTTCACATTATTTAGCACCCATTATTTACCATATTTACATATTTACACCCATTATTTACAGTGGCAGTGTCCTGCAGCAATGAAGCCAAATGTAGAACAATCGAACAATGTCTAGTATAAATCTTACATCAGAAAGACACTGCATTATGAAGGCTAGAAATAATATAAAGCTAGATCTTTCCACAAATATGTAGCATCATGAATTGAAAGAAAGCATAATTAATTCAACATTTTACTTGCTTTTTTACATTTTACATCTAAATTGTCTAGTGTCTCAATTTGGTAAATAAAAGATATTAATATTTACTTATAAAATAATACTTTAGATCCTGATTTCCACTGCTTAACAAACAATGCATAATTTCCTACTTTTAAAAGGTTCAGAACTTGAAACATCAGAAGTCCGAAGTTTTCACAGGCAGGAAAGCAATGCTTAATCACAGCCTGAATCACTGAATTCAACTGTTTTTTCCATTTTACAGCATTAGAAAGGAAAGCATTTCTATAGTGTTTGATCCCCATATAAATTAAACCCATACATTAAAAAACTAAGGTATGCATACTGACTAAGCAGATGGATGGACCAAGAAAATAATTCAAAACAAACCTCCAACCTGCTGAAGACCAAACGAGGGAATACTAAAAAAATCAGGAAAATAAGAGCGAGACAACAAAAGCTGAAAGGCCTTTCATACGATGTGGAAATAATCTACTGTTATTTCTGTTCTTTAGAGATGTTTTGTAAGTCAGTATTTCAAAGGGATGGAAAAGAATCTATCATTGCTACAAATCCAGCTGTAACTCTGTTTGAAGAGCCGGTACACTGAGAAATTTCTGAGAACTCGGGAATGGAACAATGATACTTAGCCAGCAGTAAAAATTAATAAAAATGTTCATATAATCACATATTTACTTTAGCAAGATTAATAACAGATTTTAATATTAGTTTCAGAGAAAAAAAGATTAAGAGAGAAAAGGTTGGAAATATAGCAAAATTTTCTAATACTGAACTGTTCAATTTCTCACATTTTTCCTTCAATTTGCAGTATCTTTGAAGTACAGTATGACAGATGTCTTGGCTTTATAGGGTCTATTATTTTTAATCAGTTAAAATCACTAAAATGTTTTTTGAAAAAAATTCCACTCAGAGTTTGCTCTAAGACACAATTCTAGACTCAACGAGCACACTTCCACTTAACCCAGAAAAATGCCCCAAGATGCAAATCACTGTCATCAGCCACTCTTCCCCCCAGTAACAGTTGTGATACAAGGTCATAAATTGGGATGTCTTTCTCCAGAACAATGAAACAGAATGAAGGTTTCCCTGTGGAACTGGCAATGGATCTTTCTTCTTCTAAATACGCCCTTGAACTGCACATGGCTTCTAGTCTACTACCCTCATCCCTTTTGAATGCAGAGTTTATTATCCACCAAGTAAGTGGTAAGTATGGAGTCCAAATTTATCAATCCTAATTCTTTTTCCCTGGCTAATGAATTAGAGAGGAATTAAAAAAAAAAATCCTTAGACAAAAGAAGCATACGAGCAATGTGATTTTGCATGCCTCCTCAATCACGTCCTCCTGCTGGCACCACCCTTCGCAATCCCTGTGGACTGGAAGAAGAGGTGGGAAGAAGAGGAGGGATGGCAAGGGACTCGGTACATACCTCTGCAGCTGCACTACCATGAACAGCTGTGCCAGGGCTCAGCAGCCCTTTCCTGAGGGACTTTCATCCAAGCCTCTTCCCACTGCTGGGGAGACCTCACAGGGCAGTCAGTCGCTGAGATGAACTGGGAAACTACGCTCAAGCGCAGACAAAAGCTTTTTATTGTACCCTTCTGTATCTCAAAAGATACCCTTATAATTGTAAATACTTTTAAAAACACTAACTCTGTTAAGAACGCTAGGAAGCATGATATTTGATAAGATATCGCTCAGCTGAAGGACTTTTACATTAAGCATTTAATTGCTCTTCCTTCATAGGACATGTTACTATATTTCGAGAGAAGTGCTTTATGTATATAAATGAATTGGCTATATATTGATTTCTTTTTCCTTATCTGATACTCTGTATCAGTCCCTCACAGCTTTAATTAATATATTTTTATAAAACAATAAACATATTTTTGAAATGCAGATATCAATTAGGAACTGAAAACACCTTCCTACTTGTAAAACAAACATTGATACAATGAATCAAAAAAATTGATTATGTGATTTCTACATTATTAAAAACCTAGTCCTATTTGAGTCTATGCTATAAATATCTATCTATTGGGATAGCTGTTGTCATTCAACAGTTAACAAAATCCTATGGTACTTAGGAGACTAAGGCTAAGGTCAAATATTTCTGGCTACCTTTTTTTTTGTTTTTTTCTTTCATCAAGGTTTCATTTAGCTGATGCCAAATGCTTTCTGCAGAAAAAGAAAATATTTCTGTTTCAGTGAAGTGCTTACCAGAGGAAAACAAAAGGTGAATTTTGTAATCTGTCACCTGGTGGTCGGAGCACTGCTGTGAGATGTAGGAGATCCCGAACAGCCATTACATGATTCTGGATTTGTTTCAATGTAGTACTAACAAACCCCTACGTTTCACAAAATGAACTGTCACACCCTAACCGTACTCTTGCCTAAGCCTCAGAAACACTGGAGCTCTAAATCCAGTTGTTTTCTTCAGAAGTCAGCAACATTATCCACTATTATGGCTGCCCTCAAACAAGGTTCACAACCCAAGAGATGCCTTTTCTGTAATTCATTAGAATTAATTTTGGGTACTTATCTTCAAATGAGCAGATTTATTTAAGTTTGATAGATACTAGATCAGTAAGTCAATAACTACCTCCCCAGCGAGACTGTCATCAGCTGCCTTGATATACTTTAAAGCCAACTATAACTACAGAGGAGTAACATGCAAATGCTTGCATTCTTGTTCTTCTTTTCTACAAAATATAGAAAAAACACTGTATCAAGTAGTGATTTGGGTAGCAACAGGGTAGTTGAAACAGCTAAGAATTAAGAGGAAACGTATTTTTCATTTCTTGCTCTCACAGTTATCCCAAACATAAACAAGTTCACATGCAAACTTGCTGTAGAAGTATTTTTTTAAAAAATAAAGATTTCTATTTCCTCTCCCTAACTTAATTTCTAAAATTTAAACTGAAGACATGCTACAATCCTCTGTACAGAGATGAAAGAGGAAAATAATCCACACAGCTCCTAGCAGGAAAATTAGAGAAGGCTTATGCTCTTTGATGACTGAACTGCTACATATTGCATGATGGTGTGTGCAGTCACCGCTGAGTTCCCTAGCCAGGGAAAGGGGCTGTTCAAAACTTTCCTCTCGGAATGTGGAAAAGCTGTTAGGCTTGGCCTAATTATTTTACAGGCTTATTAAGTAAACTATCTTTCACTGAAAATTTC